CTTAAAGGTGTGTGTGTGTATGTGTGTGTGTGTACACACACACACAAAATGAGAGATGGAGAGAGAAAAGAATACATGCTACGTGATTAATTTAGAGAATTACTCCTTTTCTGCATATCCAGTTATGCAGTCGCCTTTCCTCGTGGATGTTGAGGAACTTTCTTTACCTGTATCTATTTTCTTTCTAATTTGACCTTGTTTTCTCTCTCCTTCCAAATGCATTTTTTCTGAGGTTCCTTGGCCCTCCAAGTTGATCACAATTGGATCTAAATTAATATCTCCTTTGTTGTAAAGTAACTCCAGGAGCTTTAACCAAACCTCATTCCCCTGTACCCTGGTTTCCTAGGAAACTTCACCAGCTACTCTTTTCCAGATCTTCTTCTACATGTCACAAGTGACATAATTTCTTTTTTCCATTGACTCTTTTTTTTTTTCTGGAGATAGAACTGCCATACATCTCCCTTTAAAAGCTAAAAGAATCTTTTAACTGAGCATTATTTATGAAATAAAAATTATCTCTGATCATTTATAGGCCCAAGTGCAATCACTGAGCAAAAATGACCAAAGCCCAACATCAGGAGCTTTATAAAAGCCATATTATACAGAAGCATGCACCAAAAGTGCACTCCCCAGGAAAGAAGGTAAAAGCAGACCCATCATATAGAAGCAGTTGGGACATAAATTCAGTAAAAACAGAGCTTTAACCCAAAGTCACTTCATCCTCGAAACCTTATGCCTATTTGAGGATTGTCCACATTCTTCTCTCCTCACCCCTGCCATCTTTTTGGTCAAGCTAGCAAAGGAAAGATGCCATTGAAAATTGCCCTCTTCCTCACATATTCCAGTTGGTTTACTTATAAATGTACTTTGAAATGGCTTACAAACCATGGGGTTTTCTTCTTGTATAGGCTTAAGGCTCACTAAAGTCATTAGTTTATTAAAACTCTGCTTAGATGTTTAATACCAAAGCCAAAATGAACATTTGTCCTGTCCTTAACTGATGTGCTAAATGTCTCATTAGCTAAATAGTAATCATATTGAGATGCCAGCTGGCTAGACCTAGGTTTAATCCCTAGCTTAGAGGTTGAGGAACTTAGTCTTAGCATCAGTCTCCCCAGCCACTCCCTCCTGGACAATGGCTTGTGTCCCAGTCAAATTGCTTTAAGCAACACGCAGGCATTCTCATTATACACCATGAGTGCTTTCTGACCCTTGTTAGCAAAGAGACCCGTCAGGATGGAAAAAGCAAAGTAAACACTGTGGACAGCACGGGGGTATTAAGGCGGGCACATCCTTCCTCAGCATCTCAAAGCTCCAGGTCAGATAAAATGTAGGCAAAAGTGTGTGTGCGGCACAGAACATGAAGTGTCTTCTGATGGGCTGCTGTTGGCTGGGGAGGACCACAGAGCACACGTCAGACAGCAGCCTGTGCCCTGCAGTGGGGACAGCAGGCCTCCACCTGACCTTGCCTTGTGTGTCACAGACATGGCTTTAAGGCTTCCTCTAGTACCCGGAGGATTCCTTGTTCTCTTTGCTTAGGCAACTAGGCATGAGTATTTCTTTGCAGTAAATGAGTTAAGCAGCCTAGAATATAAAGAATTTTTGTTTGGTTGATTGGAGTTTTGTTTTTGTTTTTATTTTTTAAAGAATGCTCTATCAGGATAAGTGCAGCATCCAAAACTGGGAATCATCCTATTAGGAACCCTGATTCAATTTTCTTTCTTTTCTTTTTTCTTTCTTTATTTTTTTTTTTTTGGTCAATCTATAAAGAAAAAAAAATCAAACCTTTCTGTCATTATTTCTAATATTCAGTATTTATCCAGATTAATCATAATGCATGCCTTTCTGTTCCCTTTTGGGCTTGTGTGCTAAATAAGACTTTGTCCATACAATGACAAAGGAATAGCTTTACAAAGATGAATTTTAAAATATTTGTCATCTACGCCAAGTCAGACTATGGGAGCCAAAACCAGAAATTGAGAGGAATTCAAATCCTTATTGCAAGATACCCTACATGAGGTCCTCTTCTGTCCCACTCCCTTCATTGCCAAATCCTGTACATCCTGAGTTTATGAAATGTCCTGTGTCAATCCACTGATCAGCAGCCCCCATCTTCTATCCAGACTCCTGCATCCTCCCTCCCAATTTGTTGTCTTGTCATTCTCCTTTGACTGACCCCAGGTTTGTAGATGACTTTTAAAGTTAATGATTAAGGATCAATACTATGACTTCCCTTTCAATGAGTTTTTGTTTGCCATTTGATGTATGAGAAATGATACTGGATTATCAAGGTTTTTTTTTAAGATTTTATTTATTTATTCATGAGAGACACAGAGAGAGAGAGAGAGAGAGAGGCAGAGACACAGGCAGAGAGAGAAGCAGGCTCCATGCAGGGAGCCCGATGTGGGACTTGATCCCAGGACTCCAGAATCATGCCCAAGGCAGATGCTCAACCATTAAGCCACCCGGGCGTCCCTCAAGTTTAAAGCTAAAAAATTTGAAGTACACCGCTGGCACAGGATGACTTTTTACTGTTTATTTCTTTAATCTGAAGCGTCTCCATAATTTAATCCATCCATTCATTCAAAATAAAAACAAAGAACAAAGAACACTTAGAAGATGTCAACAATGTGCTAGGCTCTCTACTTGACACTGGTCAAGAAAGACACAGTCCCATAGTTAAGGGAGCAAGGCAATTTAATCAATGATTACCTAAGAGTGTTTCATATATGATCATTGATTATAAGATAGTGGTATAAACAATAATGACAAAACAGTAATCGTGATAACAAAGGTAACATGAATTGAATGCTTGTTGCAAGGTAGGCATCGGATAAGTGCTTTACATGCTTTATCAAGTTTAATCTTTACAGCCACTCTCTCTATAGCTACCTGTACATAGGTAACAATTGTTAGCCTCACTTCACTAATAAGGGAACTTGGACCTGAGGAGGTCAACATACTTATCCAAAATGACAGCTAGAAAGTAAGGGGAGCTAGGATTTGAATCCAGCATGTGTTTAGAAGGCAGTTCTAACCTTGAGGCCCCATTTGTAATCTCCTGGCCCCCAGCTGCTGCAGCAGAGGCCAGCTCACCCTTGCAACCCACAAAGCTCTTCACTTGAAACTGGGGGCGTGTCAGAGGAGTTTGAGGATGAAAGTCATTAATAAAATTTTTGAAATTAATCGGATGTTGGGAACAAACCCATCTTGTTCTCCAGAGTTTCAGGCAAATACTGCAGCTCTCCAATATAGAATTTCAGGAATCAAGTGTGGGAGTAAATTGGTTTTCTGAGATCACCTACCATAGTACTGAGCGGTCTTTTCCTCCCATTTCATTTTACCAACAAATTCATGAGTCAAAGAATAAAGCACACATCCTTTCATTGGGAAAAAGCGAATTGGTTGTTTCAAGTTCTTTAAGTGAAGCTATTACAAGATGAGTCTAATTTATAAATCCCCCTCAGAAAGGACTATCCCACGGTTTGAATATGAAGAAGAAAGGAATTGAAAGGCAAGATGAGGAATGATCTAGAAAGAAAATCGGAATATGGTCTTTAGTTTTAGCTACCTTGCTGCTGCTAAAGAGAGAGAGAAGAAGGAGGAGGTAGAAGGAAGGAAGGAGAGAGAAAGAGGAGGAGAAGGCGGAGAAGGGGGAGAGGGGAGGAGGAGCAGTAGCAGGGGAGAGGAAAAGAAAAAACCACCACCATAGCAGGGGCTCTTCACCTCAGGGATGTCTTTTCTACTGTAGCTGTCTTTGAACTCTTACAGCCTTGCCACTTCCTTTATAGACTCTCTGGATCCTCTTCTTGTCTTTCTAGCAGTTTTTCGTTCTTTTAGAGTATGAGCATGAAAAATAAAATAGGAAAATCCTATCAAATTGGTCTTCTGTTTGCCCATGGATGCCGCACATGGTGAAGGCTGGGACGATAGCTCTTGACTAAAATGAGATTTGGCATTCACAAGTGCATCCTAGTTGGTCTACCTGGACCTCTGTCTCTCCCCTGAGATGATTAAGTCCTCGACCATATGTTTTTATTTCTCTTTCCTCAGTATATAGTTCCATGTTTGCTATGGAAGGGCGTACAACAAACTCTTAGTTGAATGAGGGAATGAAGGAATGAAATAGAAATGGCAACTCTTGTGTTGTTACCTTACTCCCCGCACCCAGTGATTACTCAAGGAACCACTTCCAGTGTAAGTACTCAGGAAGGCCCAGAAGTGGTAGTTTTTCAAAAACATTCATAAATTCACAGGCACTTGTATCAACCAGTATTTTCTTTTCTTTACCCCCACAAATCTTTGTGAATTGTCAAGCCACTACTTTAGGAAGCAGGACGCTACCTGTACAGCTTTGTTTGGTTGTTTCCAGCTTAGTGAAGCAAGGATGGGATGTCACACTATTTTTTTTTCAGCCCAAGGACAGTCTATTCTTGCAAAGATAGCCACAAAAGTCAGTAACAGTTCCTACAGGGAAGACAAATAGTGTTTAAATCAGATTAAGGCACAACAAGAGCACCCAGTGCAGCTGTGTCGGGGAGGGGTTTGGTATTGATGGCTTCATTACCACCTTACATGGAGTATCTGTGTTTCTCCTGGGCTTAACAAATCCACAACCAACCAACTCTTTGTTGAGAGATGTTGGAGGGGGGTAGTTTTGTTGTGTGTGTGAGGGGGGGGTTTTGTTTTGCTTTTAACTTGACGTATTTTAATTGGTGCTTCACTAGCTCTCCCACGTCAGGTACTCAGACTGGCACTTTTGGGGACATTAGCTAAGTGTTCTTTGGGGTTCACCACAGAGCCAAGAAAAAAGATAAGGAAAATCAATAAGACCGAGCTAGCGGAGGAAGAGAACATTCCCTCTCCATCAAGGGCCTTGGCCAACCTGTCAAGCTGCCGGCTCCTCTGGGACATGCTCAGTTCTAGTGCCTGTGTGCCTCCTTCACACCCAAGTGGCCCTGCTGGGACCCACCCAATGACCTCGCTGTTGTGTTGTTCAGTTTTCAGGCCTTTATCTCCTGTCTTTCTTCACCATCCTCATCGGGCTGGTGCTCTACTCGTCCACCTCCACGTACGTAGCCCAGGACCCCCGTGTGTACAAGCAGTTCCGCAATCCTTCGGGACCCGTTGTGGACTTACCGGCCACGGCTCAAGTGGAGCCCTCGGTCACCTACACCAGCCTGGGTCAGGAGACCGAAGAGGAGCCCCACGTGCGCGTGGCCTAGGGGGCGGCCCTCCCAGCCCATTGAAGTCCACGCTGTGGCCACGTGCTTGCCCTCCATCTCTGTATTGTACATAGAGAAAGGTATTTATTAGGTGCGGTTTGCACAGGTGGACTGCAAGGTAGCAAATCTGAAAGCCTGTAAGGGGCATGCGCTCACCATCGCCGGAGACGCAGGCCCCGAGCCACCTGACTTAGAGAGACGCCTAGCTAGTATGTATCCTGATCACAGCCCTCCTGCATTAATTACTGTGAAGACTTTTGAATTAAAAGCAAGTGTTATTATTATTTGTATTATTATTGTTACTCTTATTACACTAACGTTCAGGAGGCTGTTTTGTACTCCTGATGAGAACTATTTGCCAGACCCACATGTAGTTAACACAAATCCCACTTTTCTATGGCAAGTCACTTTTTAAGAATCATACTTTATTTTTTTGCACAGTCTGTATGAGTGCTGCACGCCACAGGAGCTCCACCCCTGAGACGTTTCCTTATCCTAGGGACCTGGTGGCTAATGGTTTCCTCTGTTACCTGTTGGATTGCCTGCTCAATAATATTTTGTGCTGTGACCCTTGTGGGGAGGGGCAACTGACCATATAATTCTCTATTCTAGGAATAGATATAAAACAAACACTTGAGCCTTTTTATATTTCAATCTCTGATTACTCCAGGCCATTGCCTTTCTGTTGTGCCACGTGATTCTGCTGATGAAGTCCCTGTAATAACAGGATAAGGAATGTTTCCTTTCTGTGGCTTATAGGAAACCCCAGAAATAATATCATGTATGTTTAGGGTAATATATATATATATATATATATATATACACATATATATATATATTAAATCTTTCTGCCCCTCCCTATATCTTCTCTTCCAAAAATTTATTTGATCTTACCTTTAATTCCTAGATTTCTTTAGTGACACTATGGAAATTACTCAAGTCATTGGAAAAAGCCATGGTCCTCTGCCCTCTTAAATTGTGTGACACCCTTTTTAAAATACACCAGCATGGAAATTACCTTTATTGTGGAGTATCATTGGTTGTGTAGCCTCCCAACAAAGTCAAGGTGCTGATGTGGAGCAATCTCTGACAATAGCTTGATGGATCTGACCACCTCGTAGTGATAAAGATGTCGTGAATGAAAAAGTTTGGCATTTTGGTCATATTGGGCCTCCCTTCAATGGCAGAATATAGCCACACCATATCCTTAGGGACACAGAGAACAGTGCAGGGTCCTGCTAAGGCGTTGAGGGATATGTCACTAGTCTAATTTTGTTGCCCTTAATGTAACTTTTTTCAAACACATACAAAAAAAAAAAATCCAGCAACACCACAGACCTCGACAATCTGGAATAGATTCTGTCAGTATGTGAAATAAGTCTTTAAGGTTGGCTGGCTTCAATGCCTTTCAGAAATATCCGCCATGGGGTCCAGGGTTTGTAAAGGAAGAATAAATGCTTATGAAACTGTGGGCAGTTCAGATCAACACATCTTAAGCAAACAAAGCAAAACACCAGAGGGGTCCGTGTGAAGTAGGACAGGTTGCAGCCCCATGGGGATTCCCATAGAGCCTGCACAGGCCTAAATCCCAGGCAGGGGAGGGAGCATGGCGTGCTGGTAGTCAGCACCAGATGGCCTCTCCACTCGCCTTCTACCCAGGGGGTGTGGTCCTGCCCCTGGAGAGGGGGATGAAAAACTATCTCCTCGGATATAAAGATTTGATGGTCATCACTGTTTAGCCCCCTCAGAAATGTGTTTTCTTTTCGGAGGAAAAAAAGAAAACAAGAACTATGTTAAAGCTATATCAAGTCAAAACAACCTGCCAGTGTCTGCTCTCTGCTGCCTTTAAACCAATTAAATACCTTTCTCTATTTTGTCCATTCAGATCTGAAGACCTTTAAAGACTGTGGTTTTATTTTTGTGTTTACATTCCTTTGGTTGGCATAATTTGCTTGATTTATTGCATCCTTAGTATTTATTTTAAAGCCAAATGTTTTAGACTTTTTTATTCATTTTTATGACACTAATTTGTAGACGCTTAGTAAAGTCTTACGAGAAATAAGTGGATGAAGCTATTCCAAGTCAACTCAGTGGACTGGGAATGTTTTTTTAAAAATCTTAATTTCAGAAAAGGTTTGCAATCATCGGATGGCCAAGAGCAGCCATCTGGCTTATTTTCTAGGCTATTTTAATTGACTCCATTGTATGGAATCCCAGTGTGAATGTTAAGGTGAACTCACCCTACACCCTCTATCATCCAGAGTCCTTGTGCACAAGACTTTCATGTCACTGGGGTACTTCACTGTGTTCATCCGTCTCCAGGTAGAAAGGCTGGTAACATAGTGACCTGTCCGAGATCAGGTGTTCCAGATTGAACAGGGTGGGGGTTGGGGGGTGGGAAATAGCACAGAACAGACTCTTCTGTGTTAAAACACTGGTCCTGCGGGAGTGGGGTGGGAAGTAGGATGTATGACAACATTATCTCTAGCTCTTTTCGTTTTGGAAATCTCACAACCTCAGTAGACACCAGCCAACAGCTCCTCCTTTCACCCCTCCACACCTCCCACACCCCCTACCAGCGCGACTTCAGCAACTTGTACACAATTGGATCCTGTGAGCAAACCATAGACCACTGGCGGTAAATGCAGGTTCTCACTTCCTCCCTGAAAACCTGCCCCCCGGAGGGGGGGGGGCACGAGGCGGGGAGAAGACAGTGCTCGCCTGGGTCACACCTTCCCACTGCTCCAGACTCTGTAATACACAACCAGGTAGACCAAGCAATGGAAGAATTTGCACCACTGTGTCCCCCGAAAACCTTTCAATGTTTAGTTTAGATATTGCTAACTTGTGCTATTAACCTTTTGACAGGCGTGTAGTATTGTTTGTTTTGGGTTTGGTTTTGAGTTATAACCACTTAGGAGTCCCCAGCTAGCTACCAGGACAGATTTTACCCCATGGGTAGGATTCTATTGTCAAGCCACACCACAAAGCACACTAATCCAGACACCACAAATAGAAAATACGAACCCCCCCTCAACAAAAAAAATAAAAGATTTACACCAATAAGTCGAACAAACTTTCCATTTTTGATATTTGCATGCTCCCCTATGGACTGGCTGTGGCAATGTAATGCCTGTATAATGTTTTCAAATAAAAATAAATGCTTTATGAAAGCACGGAGTTCTTGGTTTTCTTGAGTGTTTGTCTGCACTATGGCGACCAGGGAAGGAGCTCCCATGGGATGCCGAAAATAGGCACCAAAGTAGATAGCCGGGTCCATGTCAAAATAAACACCAGAAAGAAAATATTTCCAAATTAGGAAGGGCACAGTTGGTCTCAGAGCTGAAGCTTTGAAAAGCCAAATTGAGCAGGGTTGTAATTTGCAAAATTAATTTTTTAACTGACCACTGAAGGCAGCTCTGGGTCTACAGCCTCCAAGCCCAAGTTTAAAACACACGTAGGACAATAGAAATCCACTCCCCAAGAAACAGGTCTTATAAAGGAGAAAGTTCCGCGTCCACTGCCCTTGTCACAGTGCCGGACCGAAAAGATGAGCCCCCTTCCAGAACACAGCATTTTTTAAGCAGGACTGTCTATGTTTCTGCCCTGGACCCACAACAACACCTTATTGGTGTCCTTCCTCCACTAACTGCAGCCACCAGCAACCCCTTAAGGACTTGGAGATGATGTATATGAACTCACATGCTCTCGTCACGTGCGTTCACCATCACACCTCAAAAATTAAACGAGCTGCAGAGACTGTGTACCTGGGTTATATATTTAAAATATTTTTAAAAAGAAAACACATTTTTAGGAGACTAGGAATAACTGCACACTGATCCTTTATAGATTATTCATAAGTTGAGATCCATTAGGATCTACCTTTATAATGACAACAGTATGTACTGAACACTAATAGTTTGCTTGAAAAATATGACTCAGCTTAAAAGAAAGTTTTTTTCCTTGAAAAAATATAAATATTTCTCTCGTGTGTTGTTTATTTAGGAAGTTCTTTCATCGAAGATGAAATACTTTTGAACTTCAACCCCAGCCTATGTCCAAATGCCCAGTAATTTTAGATAATTGGAGTCCAAAGAGGATACGCAATAAACGCACAGGACATGTTTACTCTGTCCCCAATGAATTCTAATTTTCTTAAAAGAGGAAACTTGGTTTCCCAAACTCTTGGAAGTTCTTGCAAAGGTAAGATAAGGCAGCACTTGAATGATTTTTGTGACTATTAGCATGAAGAAAAAAGAGAAACAAGTAAACTTCAGCAGGAGAGCTGTAATTTATTATATTGTCTCAGTGTTCCATAGGAAAACAAATTGTAATGTCGAAATAACAGGATCTGAAACCAGATCCATTTTCAGGGAAACATCTTGCACAGGGAAAGCACTTGTACTTCTTCTTTTTTTTTTTTTCCTAATGGAATCTAACGTCTAAACTCAAAATAGAAAATACAAGAGTAAGATTTCTATTACAAAATGTTCCCTTTTTTCTTCCACTACTTGAGAGTACTTTTTTCTATAAAATTCCTGTTCTTGGAAAGGAAGAAATCACTGGTCCACTTAAAACGCACCCTTCTGGGGAGTTTATTTTTATAAACCCTTACAATGTTTACCCCTTCAGGTTGGCCCTGGGATAACAAGGCAACGAAGTGAAGTTCTTTTTTTTCCTTGCAAATAGTGTTTTTGAATTTATAACACTGCTTCTTAATTATGTACACTGTTCTTTTTTGCTTCCTTTCTTGCTTTTTCTTTGAATTCCTTTTATTTTTTTTTTCTGTCTTTTTTCTTTCTGCAAGCCTAAACAGAGGGATCACTATGGGCCACCTAGGCGGTGTCTCTGCCCTTTATTGTCTATGTGGTCAAAAATGTTTAATTCAAAAAAAATTATAATACAGCTGGGAAATCCCACACCTACCAGATGGCCTTACATCAGTGCCTGAAAGGACAAGCCATTGTGTGTCACTTTTCAGACAGCCAGACAAGTCGCGTCCAAACACGACTGCAGCCTGATTAACAAGGAAAACTAATGATCAGAGGGAGCAGGTCTCTGGGAATAGACTAAAATTAGCGGCTTCCATCTGGATAGACAAAGGCCTGGTGTGGGTAAGACTAAAATCTATCAAATGAGCTTGTTCACCCAGCCTTAGCGTTAGAGCTGGAAACAATCCCATAATGCTTGAAGGATAATTTCAGGATAGATAAAGATAAATATTACTTTACACAATGGGGAGTAATCTTCTTGAACTCATTACCCCAAAGTGATGTGTTAAGTCACCTAATAGATGGGGGAACTACAATAAGGCATTAAGTAGGCTGTGTAATTCATTATCCAATCTGTTAACGCTTTCAAGAGTGGAAGCAGACACTATTAATAATGATGCCTGGACAATAGATATGGGCCCAGTCTGTCCCAGGCGGATCTGAATGTGCGTTCACCCTGGCTGTAAGAGGTAACACCGGCATGTCCCTCACAGTGGGAAGCTGGCAGCGCCGTGGATGGCCAAGTCTTCTTGCCACTAGATGTCACTGAGGTAGAGCATCAGGGTGAAGCCATCCACCTGCCCAGGGGGGGCAGGCTGTTCCTGGATTCCTACTCCTGGAAGGCAGCACATGAGGCAACCGAGGCCATAGAACTACTCAGAAGCAAATTCCATTGGAAGCTGACACCTCCATACATTTCAAGAAGTGCTGTGCGACAAATAAATTCATGCCTGAATGGATGCATACCCCATCTGGGAGGAAGAGGTAGATTCCTAGGTGCAGAGGAACCAACGCCTCGTAACAGTGGATCAGAACCCTTCAGCAGGTCTGCACCAACGCGTTCTCCAACAGCGTCCACCAGGGTCATTTCTGCCATGTATTAGCAAGGTTGGGTCTCATTCGTGCCTTTCTTGGCCTTGTCTTGGCAGGCAAGGAGAGTGATTGCCATAGCACCTGAAGAGGTTTGATAAATTTTAAGTAATAGTAATAATTGCAGTGTCACAGATGGTTGGCCACTTGCCAATTTCCCAGCAAAGTAGAAAAGCAATAAAGAAAATCTACTTGTTCTTAAAATGACTACTTTTCCAAATGAAATTACCAAAGAGAGAGGAAATGGGCTAATCACTGGAATAATCAAAACAGTCTCATTATGGGACTCCCTGTGAGCTTTTGTTTGAATTCTCTAATGTAGTTTTTGGCATTAAATAGGATTTTAAAAGCTAAATAGGTCACACATGCATACAAATGGTTGAGTGAACCACGTAACTGCTTTATGCGCCCCAAGATTATGCCTATCAGGCTGCGTTTTAATTAAAAGGAAAATTGTCAGGGATAGAGGACAACTTAATGTGGGGGACTTTGGTGTCACAGTTGAAGGCTGAGACTTGACTTGGCATTTAGTTTTCAACTCATAATCATGACCTCCAAACAACAATGGAATTCATTTTCATTTTAGCCAAAAGCTTAGATCCAGAATTGGAGACCTGGAAGGAACACTGGAAGTCATTTTGTTCAAAATCTCAAGTCATTTTCTGACATGTAAAGGTGGGGAAGGAAAGATGGTTTAGCCTGGAGAAGCTACATAGCCTTGTTCAACACTGGCGAGCAGAGAAGCTGTACAGCAGCACAGAGTTGGCATCCCCAGTTAAAGAGGCTGCCCTGGGATTACTGGAAACCAGAGTCACAGGGTTAACGCAGATCCTTCCCATTCAGGGCTCAGGCAACCTGGTCCTTAGGAAAATCCCTGTTTCCACCCAAGTGCAATCCCAAAGTGAAAAGAAAGGAAAAGAGTTTGTGCCCAAGGTAAATGCCTTTGCCCTTCTGTAGTGAATCTATTAAGGAAAATGCGCAGATAGGAAATTGTTTCTCTGCTAATCTACCTCAAAACTCAAGTGTAAGAGGGATCTTTGGGATGACCATTGTCCATGAGACTCCCAAAAGCAGACGAGCTACTAAAAGCTGCAATGGTCCATCTGTAAGTGCTGTCCTAGGCTTAAGGGCTCACTGTTTTTATGGGAAACATCTTCCCGCCAGAAACTCACTAGCCATCGCTCCTATATTCTCCGATGACCTATGGTAGATTAGCATCACTAGGAGGGCTGCTGCCCTTGAGAAGCAAGTCATCCATCCTTGAATAAAGACCAGACTTGACTCTAAAGTGAAGGAGCTTCTACGTTCCTCCTGACTACTGGAGCAACATAAATCACTCGGGTGAGTAGACTTCATGAGGCAAGGATGGGGTGAAATAAAAGTCATCAAGCAAGAGATCATGATATTAGAGCTTTGAAATTTTTACTTTTTTATTTTTTTAAGGTTTTATTTATTTATTCATGAGAGACCAGAGAGAGAGAGGCAGAGACACAGGCAGAACAAGAAGCAGGCTCCATCAGGGAGCCCAACATGGGACTTGATCCCGGGTCTCCAGGATCACAACCTGGACTGAAGGCAGCACTAAACTGCTGAGCCACCTGGGCTACCTGAGCTTTGAAATTTTTAAAAGTAAAAGTTGCCCCTGCCTTCCCTGAGGAGTGCATGTTTTTCTCATGCAGGAACCACAGTCTCTTAGAGCCCTGGGGGTTCTATGGGGCCACCAGCTCCTACTCCTGGGTTACCAGGGGGCTTTAGTGAAAGTGCTGTTCTACTATTTCTCTCTTGGTTGATTGAATGCATTGCTTCTGTTTATAATAGTCTTTTCTTGATTCTTTTTTTTAAATTTTTTAAAAAGTAATCTCTATGACCCATGTGGGGCTCAAACTCATAGCCCTGAGATTAAGAGTCACATGCTCTACTGACTAAGCCAGCCAGGTGCCCTTTGATTCTTGACATTGTAGAGAAATGGACTTTTTATGTACTAATGCAATGTTATGAACAGAACAACATTATCATGATAAAGTAGACTATCTTCTACAAGGTACAGCATAAGTCCCATGTATTTCAACTGAGAAAGTACTAGCATCTGCTTTTTGCAAACATATTATTTCTATCTACTCCCCTTGAAATGATTGTCCCAGCTTCATGGCGGCATTCCACATTTGCTGCCATCTTCTCAGCTTGATTTTTCTACTGCACTAGTTCATTTTTGATGACTGCTTCTTGGAGCATTTCAGAAAAAAAAATTTTTTTCTTTAGGACTTAACTATATTGGATCTTTTAAAAAAAACTGTTTAAGAGGAGCA